GAGGTCGTAGTTGCCCCGTCATGTCCAGCGTCGATGTGGGCGACGGGATGTCAATGGGCGCCGACTTGTGCACAAGCTGCGTCGTGGCGCCGTCGTCGAGGTTCGTTGTGGCGACGTCGGCCGTCGGCGCTGCCTCGACGGGTGCGCTGGCAGTGGCGGCTTGCTGCGCGCGCAGGGCCAGGTAGACGTCGGCGGCGCCGATAGCGGCGGAGACGAGGGACACGACGAGGAGGCAGAGCATGTCGAGAGGCGGGCTCGTTGCGAAATGATATGCGAATCACCAAAACTGGAATTGAGAATCGAGAATTGAGAATCCTGTAATTCTGAATTTTAATCTTGTCTTGCGTTTTGTATGCAAATGCCAGGTTTATTGAATGCATTCGCAACCAACGCACGAATCTGGCGATCTTTCGGGAAAGCGTGCGATGTGATTGGCTATCCCACTGGACTCGCTCGAATTCCCCTAAAAAGTACTGTCGCCACACAGCCATGCCACGTCACGACCCTACCAGCGTCACCGGGCCGTTCACGCGGTATTCAAGTAAAAACTCAATCGACAATATATAATATATGGAGGGGATGCAGCTAGACGTAGTACATGAGGCGGCCGAGGTTGCGGTGGACGTCCATGAGGCGGCCGGTCGACTCGACAAAGGTGCCGTCGACGGTCGAGCCGCCGTCGCTGCTTTCTTGCAGAAAGAGGCGCGTGCGGTCGCCGACGAGCTTGGCGTAGTAGACGGCGGGAACCACCGAGACGGACCGCGTGCAGCGCGCAAACGTGTAGCACAGCTGGTACGTGAGGTTCTGGAGCTCGTCGGGCGAAAACTGAATCTCGTCCAAAAGCACGTGGTAGTGGGCCGGGCGGCTCGTGCCTTGGAGCCCTGCGTGGCTCATGAGATAGAAATCGTACTCGGTCGGGTGGCACACGCCCGTGTCGACGACCGTGCCGGCCTTGACGTTGCCGCTGCGGTCCGCGTCCGCGGCCGACGTCGGGAAGAACCGCGTGTGGTGGCGCTTCTGGACGACCACAAACGTCACCTGCGGGCAGTAGCCTTCCTCGAGCGCGGCCGTCGCGCGGCGAATGGCAGCGATCTCGTGCTGCAAGACGTGCTGGAACTGCCCTTCGCTGACGCCGTCGCGGTAGACGAGGATGCGCAGGGGCTTGAGGCGCGTCTCGGCATAAAACTGCCGGAGGAGCTCGTTGACCATGCCTTCGAGGTCCTCAATGATGTCGACGCGGTGGCCTTGCTTGCGCACGGTCGCCGCGTGGTAGCACGCGTACGCGTCCATGGTCGCGACGACCGACGCGATCGACGGGCGGCTCTTGTCGCCCGGCCCCGGGTGGCTCACGTCGCAGCCCAAGATGATCGTGGGCACTTCGGCCACTTTTGGGAGCGGGTCCGAGCACACGGCGTTGCGCCCGCCGAGCTTGACGTTGACCTTCATCAAGAGGTTGGCAATGTACTGCGCCTGCTTCTTGGCAGCATTCTTCAGAAGGAGGCACTGCGACGGAATGCCAAACGTCACGTCCGACGCGCGCTTGAGGTCGCCATAGTTCATGACGCACGTGGTCGGGTGCACGCTAAAGACGACTTGGGGCCGGAGGCCGTAGACCTGTGTCGCCGCGTCGATCGCGCGGCCAAAGAGGCTCTCGATGGACTCGCCGCGGCGCGTGAGGATCGGCGGTGGCTTGGACGGCCCGCGCATGTTGATCGCGCCGAGTTGGGTACCGAGGGCGCGGAAAAAGTCTTCGATCGCTCGCGAGTCGCGCTCCGTGCAGAGCGAGAGGACGGCAAACGACTCGATCGCCATGCCTTCGAAAAAACCCTTGTTGCGCATGTTCCAGGCGCCGGCGGCCGGCACTTCGATCGCGTCGCGGGCGTAGCGCAGCTTCGGGTCGGGCAATATGCGGGCTTCGATCGCGAGCATCTTCGGGTTCAAGGTCGCACCAAACGCGGCCAGACACGTGTCGGCTTCAAAGTGGGCTTCCGCGACCTTTTCCTCAATTTTGCGCCGGCGCTCCTCGGGCTTGGTGCACGTGTACCGGATCATCGACGCGACCTGCGTGTCCGAGATTTTGCGGGGCATGCGCTGGTTCTCGGCGATGTGGCACACTTCAATCGGCAAAAAGTTGGAGCTCGACTTGGAGCCGACCTGGAAGCACGGCAGGTGCGGAAACTGCAGCGGCTTGTACGTCTTGGCAAAGTACTCGGCGATCGACACGTCCTTGCCCTCGGCGTCCTTGAAGAAGCGCCGCGCCGCCGACTCCTTCGAGATGGCCACAATCTTGAACGCACGTTTCACGTTGGGGCGGTGCAGCACGCGCACCTGGACGCCCTTGAAGGCCTTGGCGACCGCGTGGTGCTGCTGCGGACTGAGCTCGCTCGGGACGCCACGAAGCCCACACGCCTCGCTCATGTAGTCGAGCGCGGGAACCGCCTCGAGGAACGCCGACGCCGCCATGTCAATGTTGAGCGTGAGTCTCGTCTGCGTCGGGCGCAGCGACTGGTGGTACCCAAACCACACTTCGGCGCCTTCGCCGAGACGCGCCGACTTGTCGGGCGAGAAAAAGTTGCGTCCGACCGCCGTAAAGCGCAGGGTGGCCGAGTGGCGCAGCGCAATGTCGAGAGCTTGGATGGCCTCGCACGGCGTGTAGTTGAGTTGGCCCGAGAAGAAGTCCCACACTTGCTCCATGCGCACGTTGCACGGGTCGGCCTCCTTGACGTACACGTCAAATACCTTGGGCCGCGCGTCGTTGGTGAGCACGCACTTGAAGAGGTGCATCTCGAACGGCAATTGCGACGGTGTGTACAAGTTGCGCCGGCCGTCGGTCACCACCACATGCTGCGGAAACTCGGCCTTCATCACGTCGATGAGCACGGCGAGAACCTTGAGGCAGAGGTCCTTCGGCGGTGGCTCGTTCTGGGGCGCCTTGCCTTCCGGCGCGATGCCAATGTCGTAGTGGAAGACGTCGCCTTGCGGCTTCAAGTCGACTTGAAAGTGGTTGACCCACACGACAATGCGCTTGCCCGCAGTACCAAACGACGGGCGGCACGGGTAGAGCGACGTGACTTGCGGCGGGAGGAGCTCCGACTTGACGGGCTCGGGCGGCGGGCCGGACGGAATGGAAAAGTTGCCGCCGCCACCGCGACCGCCACGACCACCTTGGAATGCACCACGTCCGCCTCGACCGCCACCGTCGCGTCCACCGTTGTATCCACCACCACGACCACCACCGTCGCGTCCACCGTTGTAGCCACCACCACGGCCGCCGCCGTAGCCACCATCGCGGTCGCCACCGCCACGGTCACCGCCGTAGCCCCCGCCGCGATCATTGTGGCCTCGGTCGCCGCCGTAGCCGCGGCCGCCGTTGTTTCGTGGTGAGCGCGGAGGGCCGCGGGTAGGCGAGCGCGAGCGCGAGCGTCGGCGTTCGCGGGATCGAGATCGATGCATCTGCACGCTG